TGGAGGTGGTTGATGTGGAGGTGGATGAGGTGGAAATGGATGTAGTGGAGGTGGGTGAGGTTGTGGTAGGGATAAATTAGGTGGAAGTGGATGAGGCTGTGGTAGGAATAGATGAGGTGAAGGTGGATTAGGTGGAGCAGGTGGATGAGGTTGAGGTGGTAGGGGTGGTTGAGGAGGTGCGGGTGAGGAGACGGTTGAGGAGTAAGTTTAGGAGGGGGGGGGGGCGAACAGGAGAAGGTTCAGGAGGTTCGAGGCGCGTCCTCAGGGGTCCCGTCCCGTCTCGCCCGGCAGTTCGACCGAGTTAGTTTCTTTTCAAGCTCTATACTCGGTCTTAATCACTCTGGGCGGTGGGGTCGCCCGGGTCGCCCGCCGCCGACTGGAACCCGACGCGATAGTTATTTGCAATCTGAATGTGCAATTAAGTTGGCGAATCGGAGCGCCAAGTGGTATGGCACCGCGCCTCGCCGCCGCATAGCAGAGTCGACACAAAGTTATCAAAGTGAGTCGTTCTTATTTCTGGGGCCATTGTCGCGCGGCCCCCCGCGTGTGCAGATGTAAGTTTGAGCCAAGGCCACGTAATTATGAGTAGCGGGGCGTGGTGGGGTGGGGCGGGGTGGGGGTGTGCTTGCGGGCGGGCCGGGCGTGGGCCTTGTGGCGAGGCTCAAGCCCCCGCGAGGCTCGGGCTTGTCGCTGTTAAGTGATAAAGCATGTTGTCAAGTTTTCGGCACGGCCGTGTCGGCCCCCGACTTTATGGCGAAAGTATGGAAGTCAATCCAACCTTGACCCCTCGTAACTTGACTCTTGACTGGCAGTGCGAGCAGCACACTCCCCAGCGCACCATAAGCACGACCGAGCACGACACACTTGGGCTTCAGTACACGTTCGTGAATTCCTGGAACATTTTCTCTCTTCCACTTGTGTACACAATAATTTATTATTGTGGCTGTGGATGTGCTCTAGTGTTTTATGTAACTTACATCGTTCGTGCCGAAAGAAATGAGTGGGAGGAATAAAGCGTCGGCCCTGGGCACCGTGTTTTTGAGTAAAGTAAACCGAAAAAGCGATCACTGGGATGCGAGCGCTTGCACGAAAAAGAAATAAAAATATTACTGGACGTAACCTCTAAAAAAAGGATCGTTCGAAATTCTGCGTGAAATCTCCCCCGTTGGCGAACGGAACCGATGCCTGGGGGAGTTCGGGGTGAGGCTGTGAATGATTGAATTGCGAATATTGTGCTCTCGGAGCACGCACTCGGTGTGTGCGACCATCACGAGCCACTGGGCTGAGAGCGAGAGAGAGAGAGAGAGAGAGAGAGAGAGAGAGAGAGAGAGAGAGAGAGAGAGGAGAGGGGCGGGTGAGAACCGGGGAAACATAAAGGGACGAAAGGGAGAGGGGTGGTAGCACGACAGAGGCGGCTGGTCAGCAACGGGCAGCTCGAACCTCCCGACTCAACGGTCTGCCGCGAATTCGACGGAGACGGACGCTTGATCGATAAGGTGGTGTAGGCGGTTTATTACCATAACGTAAAGGAAGTTTTGTTTTTGATTTGGCGTCAATTCAGTCTTCTGGCTCGCATTCCGCGTACACTGCGACACCCAGTTTATATTCACTCCCAGTTGCTTCGTACTACAAAGAGCACCGCTTTGTTGACAAAC